ATAATGCACCACTTCGCCCTGAAAATTGTTGCAACTACAAATGTTTAGGCATTTTCATGTTTATTTCTTTTGTTTGTATTGGTATGACAAAAAAAAAAAGTAAAGAAAAAGAGCCAAATCTGACATATTCCACGCAAAACCCTAAAAATGGACTGGAAAAATTATTAGCACCTTCTCAAAATTGTAAGAAATTCCAAGTTTGTGATGCTCCTGCAATTTGTAATTAAACTCAGTTGTATCAATTAAAAGATCTTAATGTTTCTGTGTCTACTGTGTACAACATGGTCAAGAAGATTACAGCCCATGGTACTGTAGCTAATCTCCCTGGACATGGACAAAATGCCTTGGTATGCTGATGCCTTAAGAGTTCCCTTCACTGGAACTAAAGGGCCAACCCCAACCCCTGAAAAACAACCCCACACCATAATTCCCCCCTCCACCAAACTTTACACTTGGCACAATGTATTCAGGCAAGTACCATTCTCCTGGCAACTGCCAAACCCAGACACGTCCATTGGATAGCCAGACAGAGAAGCGTGATTTGTCACTCCAGAGAACTCGTCTCCACTGCTCAGAAGTCCAGTGGCGGCATGCTTTACACTACTGCATCCAACGCTTTGCATTGCACTTGGTGATGTAAGGCTTGGATGCAACTGCTTGTCCATGGAAACCCATTCCATGAAGTTCTCTATGCACTGTTGTGCTAATCTGAAGCCTACACAAAGTCTTTAGCTATTGACTCTACAGACAGTTGGTGACTCCTGTGCACTGTGCGCTTTAGCATGCGCTGACCCCGCTCTGTCATTTTACATGGCCTACCACTTCATGGCTGAGTTGCTGTTGTTCCCAGTTGCTTCCACTTTGTTATAATACCACTAACAGTTGACAGTGGAATATTTAGTAGCAAGGAAATTTCACGGATGACCCATTCTTTCACAAATATTTGTAGAAGCAGTCTTCATGCCTAGGAGCTTGATTTTATACACCTGTGGCCATGGAGGTGATTGGAACACCTGAATCCAATGATTTGGAGGGCTGGCCCAATACTTTTGGCAATATAGTGTATCTAAAGTGCTGTGTAAATTGACAGTGCTATACAAGTACCTGAAAAAAATAGTAATAGTAAAACCTAGTAAAAATAGTAAAAATAGTAAAAAAAATAAATCATACAACCTCAAATTTGATAACAATTTTCATCGCAATTGAAAAAGAACGGATTAAATAATCCTCCACTGCTGGGCAATCAAGTTAAGGAAAGCCTAATTGTCTGATCGCTTTCTACTCAATGTTCTAGTATTCAATTACTATTTAATTACACTTATTCAGCTGATGAATAAAAATAGGTTATTATGTATATATTGTAATAAAACATATCAAAGTTTGAGTCTTCATTCGGGCCCTGTCAGACCGTTTGGACATGTGTCCGTTTACACCTGACAACATCTGATCAGATCCTCTCTGCTAAAAACAGATGAATATGGATCCGTTCCTCATCTGTCTAGCAGACTGGATAATAGTTGGATGTAAACTGACAGGTAGCCCGTTTACATCAGACCGTCCCATAGAGAACAGCGGGCTGCGTCCGTGTTTGCTCTGCCCAAGTGGAGTGGACATGGACCTGTAATTCGCCTGCTCAGCGGGGATCAGCAAGTGGATCCGCTTGGAGGAGTCCGCCACACTGAAAGGGCCCTTCTTCTAGTTACCTTTGATCATATTAATGAGAACTGTTGAAAAGGAATTAAACTCTGCTACTTTTTTTTTTAATGAAATCCCAAAAGGTTTAAGTCATAATGTGTAATATGCACCACATAAAGTATTAGCACATTATGGAAGTCAAATGAAGCCCTCCAGCTACTCAGGCACTTCCAACTTCTCCTGGCCTTCACTTCAGGTTTGCGGTGTTCAGCCACATGAATGGCTGGGCTGCAATTACGCCACTCTCGCGCATGCGCAGAGGTATCTGGTATTTAGCATACAGCGTTGTACTTCAGCGACCATCACCTTTCAGAAACTAGCAAAAAAACGGAGATGCTTCCTGAGTTGGAGAAGTTATACCGGGGGGACTTCTTGTCTAAGTTTCCACCAGTGCCTATTTACCTATAGGTGGCAAATAACCCTACAGAGCTGTGCATGCATGGCTCAGTGTACATTACCGCTGACCAGCCAAGAGAAGCATTTATGACTTCATTTCATTTTGTAAAGAGCTGCGCAAACTGTTGGCGTTATAAAAAATCTTGTATAATAATAATGACAGCCAATACTTATTATTTATAATAGCCAATGTGTTTCTGGGCAACACGACCCCCCTTCCACAGGGCTGGCCCCATAAAAATGCTGCTGCTAAGGCTCCATGAACACGTTTTGATAACGCTGGCAACGTTAGCTGTGTAAAGTTACGTTAAAAATGCGAGTTTTTCAACTTTTTTTTTTTTAGAGTTTTTGCATTAGCGTTTAGCGGCCTTTTGAGGTTTTTCTTTTACAAAAGAAAAAAAAATTGGGGGGGTCAAAAAACATTGCAAAACTCCAGTTTGCGGCAAGTTTACAGCATTTTTCACCATTAGAGCGTTTTTACAGCTACAAAACTCCTCTAGAAGCCCACTAGTCCTGGGTTTTTTTTCCAGCCAAAAACGTTGATTACAGTCTGTGTGCATGGACACATAGGATAACATGCTGGGGGGTTTACTGACTGTAGAAAAAAAATGTCAAAAGCCAAAAACAGCCGCTGTAAAAACGTCCCGTGTGCATGAGGACTAACAAAGTTGAAATATGTTAATGTTTTTAGCTGTGCGGGCTCAAAGGAGAATTCCAGGAAGAATCACTGGAAAGGACTCAGTAAGTATATGTCAAGTGTTAAATCCCCTAAACTCCATGCTATCCTTTGTGAGATACAGCTCTCTTCAAACCCTAAAGCAAAATAATTCGTTGCCACATAGAAATCTATGGGCGGATTAATTCCTCATAAAATGGAACTTTACCCGTAACAGGAAATGTACATTCCACATTAGTATTTATGCTATAAAAATCAGTGTGTGCTGTAAGTTGCCTCCAGCATTGTTTCTTCTTGCCAGAGGCTGCCATTTTGCCAAAGTCCAGAGCCCTGAGCAGCATTAAATCTTTAGGATATCAGCAGATCAGCCTCTACAAATTCGGCACAGTGCCTAATAATAGAGAACAACTGAGCATGTGCAGAGCAGGATGGGACAATGTATTACTGGATTTTAAACAGTGTAGGCACTTATTTTTAATGTTTTCCATAGCTATACCTGAAAAAAGGGCCAGTGTGAAGTAACCAGGACCTCATTTTTTGACTAAAGGTCTACTTTAAATTTTGCACACTGACCAAGCACAGTCCAATAAGAGTCTGACTCAGGGGCGGACTGACAACTCATGGGGCCACTGGGCAATAGCGGATCATGGGGCCCCTGTGCAATAGCGGATCATGGGGCCCGTGTCCTTGCCCAAACAAAAAAGCCTATGAAAAAGGTACCAGGGGCATCTCATGGGGCCCCCTACTGACCCCGGGCCCTCGGGCAGTGCCTGAGTTTCCAAATGGTCAGTCCGCCCCTGGTCTGACTTTACTATAGGTATGAAAACAAAGGTCACACTTGTCCATCTTGGAACATGAACAGTCCTAAATGGGCTCTCTCCTGGTGCCTTTCACTCAATGTAGGCTTAACCACAGAGAGAGTCTCTACCATTAAGCTCACACCAAGCAAAATGCATCAGCAGAGACCCCAGGTGGACCGTCCATGTATAAGGATTTTGTTTTATATATTACATAATTGATTAGATGTAGATATAATTAAAAGTGGTTCTACGGGCAGAAGTTTTTTTTATCTTTATGCATTCTATTCATGAAGGTAAAAAAAAACCTTCAGTATGGATCAACTTCCCCTGGCCTCCCCCCTTATATCTACCTGAGCCTGACCTCTAACCAGCACTGTGCATGGGAGCTGGGGCTCTCTGTCTCCTCATTGGCTCAAAGTAGTGGAAGCTATTGCCTCCCTCTGCTGTCAATTACAGCCAGTGGGGAGGGATCGGGTGTGGGGCCGAGCTATGCTCTGTGTGTCTATGGACAGAGCCAGCTCAGGAGTGAGCATGCATGAGTGCCTCCACAGCAAGTGGGTGGCTATTGGGTCACTTGGTGGGGGGGGGGGGAGCCAGGAACGTCGTCGAAGGTATCTCAGAAGAAGCTCACGGCTGCTCTGTGCAAAACTATTGCACAGAGCAGGTAAGTATAACATGTTTACAATCACTTTAACACATTACACATACCTCCCACAGTCCTTTCCAAAGATACACCATGAAGTTCTTTCGTCCTGCAATTTGTCATCAGTAGGACTGGCCTGGAGAATGGGGGAGCCTAATCCATAGGACGACACTGGATATTTCAGCAGAAATTTCAAATCTCCTTATCAGTCTCCTGTTTGTCATGTTTGGCTGGCCCAACATAGTTGGCTCTCTGGGGGCGTGCAGTATAACCATTTACCTTTCCCTCACCACCAATACAGTTAAGTTGGCCATACATTATACAATTTTCTTGAGAATTTTGCCTTAGATTCACCAAAAACCAATTTTCAGCTTTCAGTGCTGTCGCACTTTGATTGACAATTGCGCGGTCATGCAAGATTGTACACATATGAAATTTTTATCATTTTTTTCTCACAAATAGAGCTTTCTTTTGGTGGCATTTAATCGCTGCTGGGCACTTTACTTTTTGTGCTATAAGCAAAAAAAAAGTGCAAAAAAATTTGAAAAAAAAAAAAAGTTTCTTTGTTTCTATTATAAAATTTTTCAAACAGGTAATTTTTCTCCTTCACTGATGTGCGTTGATGAGGCAGCACTGATGGGCTTTGATAGGCAGCACTGAAGGGCACCGATAGGCAGCACTGAAGGGCACTGATAGGCAGCACTGAAGGGCACTGATAGGCGGCACTATTGAGGTGTCACGGATAGGTGGCACTGATATGCGGCACTGATTGGTGGCACTGAAAGGCAGCACTGATAATGGGTACTGATAGACAGCACTGATAGGTGGCACTGACTGACATCCCTGCTGGGCACTGACTGGCGGCACTGCTGGGCAATGACTGGCACAACCGCTGGGCACTGACTGGCAGCACTGCTGGGCTGCACTGGTGGGCACAGGTGGGTGGCACTGGTGGGCACAGGTGGGTGGCACTGGTGGGCACAGGTGGGTGGCACTGGTGGGCACAGGTGGGCGGAACTTGTGTGTGGCACTGCTGGGCACTGATCATCAGGGCACTGATGATCAGTGACCCTGATGATCGGTGCCGATCCCCGCTCTGACAACTGCCGGTTTTCGTCAGTACTTTCCTCACGATCTGACAGCATGAGGAAAGTGCAGCCAAGAACTGGCATTTGCATTTCCCGGTGATCAGCATGTCATTGGACACAGCTGATCACGTGGTAAAAGGTTGCTGTGATTGGCCTTTTACCACGTCACGTGATTAGCTGTGTCCGTAGGACACAGCGATCACGGAGCCGGGTGCCCCCCCCGGGCGCGTTCTGGGTGGACGTCATATGACGTCCACCCAGAACTGGCCGGCCGCAGTGCAGCCGTCATTCGGCTATCTGCGGTCAGCAAGTAGTTAAGCAGGCCCTTGCACTACATAGTTGAAGGTAAATCTAAAGGAAATCAGGTAGAAATTGGACAGAAAATTGTATAGTGTATGGCCAGCTTTAGAGAACATGTCTTTTACAGGACAATCTCCAAGGCCTACTATGGGTGCAAAAACCTTACAACTGATAAAAGAACAAGAGCACTGGAAAGACTTTTCATTCTGTAATCCACATAGTAGCTACGGCTCAACCTGTCTGTACTTTTTTTTTTTCTTTCTGACATCGTAGCCTCTGGTCATATCATTTTTACAAGTGCAATCATTAAATATGTAGCAAACGCACAATAAACAAAACAGCTTGTGAGAACCTAATTGCTGCTTAGACTAGCGCTATGTGTACAGCAATAACACAGCGCGGTCACACTGAGCTGCAGACACCGAAGTCTCTATGTGCAATTACTGTTTATACTGCAAGCACATCCAGTGGCTACAATAGCCTGAGGGCACATTCTTCAGAATAAAAAAGTAACAAACAGTGATGTCTGACATAATACTGCTGGTTACACGCCAGGCCATTCCTATTTGACCCGCCTGTGACTGCAATAGTCCTTTTTGAGTCAAGACGCAGAATCCCCTGTGCAGGGAGCATGTCGACATAGCAGCAGGGAACCAGGGCGACTTCCTAGTTGTCAGACCTCGCTGTCAAGCTGACTAATTAGTCATGGGGTTATTGTCACATTAACTGACACATGCTGATGATGCCAAGTCTGGGCATCGAAGCTTCAAAGACCTGTAGGCACAAAAGAGACTAAAGTCAGCTGTAGATGGATCCAAATTAGTGGTGCACTGAAATGAGAATTTTGGTGCCGAAACCGAAAATTAAAAATGCACTTGGCCGAAAACTGAAACTGAAATGCGCAGTTTTTAAAAATGAATATATTTTTTGGGGAAAAAAATACACTTTGATTAAAAAAAAAAAAAACAATATATACCCCAATTGTTTTGTAAAATATGTAAGAGCATGTTGCGGCGAGTAAATAGATACCAAACATGTCACGCTTTAAAATTGCGCCGCTCGTGAAATGGCATGAAACTGCGGTACTTAAAAATCTCCATGGGTGATGCTTTAAAAATTTCTACAGGTTAGCAGTGTAAAGTTACAGAGGAGGTCTAGTGTGAGAATTATTGCTCTTGCTCCGACGTTCGTGGCGATACCTCACGTGTGTGGTTTGAACACCATTTACATATGTGGGCATGACCTACGTATGTGTTCACCACTACGTGCGAACATGGGGGGACAGGGGGCACTTTAAACTTTTTTTTTTTTAAAATGTATTTAATGTTTTTTTTTGCACTGTTGCTTTTAAAAAAATTGTAATCACTTTTATTCTCATTACAAGAAATGCATGCATCTTTTGTGATAGGAATAATTAGGTACAGGTCCTCTTTATGGAGAGATATGAGGTCAATAAGACCTCACATCTCTCCTCTGCAATGTAAAGCATTAGATCAAAAAAGCATTGATCTAGTGCTTTACAAAAGAAAAAAAAAATGCCCGGAACCGGAAGTGACATCGCTCCGGTCCTCCAAGGGCATAGAGATGTGTGGCGGCCATCTTTCCTTCACTCATCTCTATGCCTAGTGCCGGGATCGGTGGTTTCTCAGGTAAGACTGAACTACTGAGGGGTGGGCGTGGCAAGGGGTGGGCGGCTTTGAGTGGCTGAGTTTTTTCGGCACCTGTATCGGTGCTTTTTTTCATTTCGGCTGACAGCCGAAAGGGGTGTTTTCTGCAGACACGTTTCCGACTCTGGAAATTCTGTGCATCCCTAATCCAAACCCAGCTGCTTTTGCAGGAACTGGCTGAATTTTAATCCATTGATGGGAAGGCTGGTTGTACCGAAATCGATCAATAAACTTCAGTACAACCAGCCGATCCGTTTTTTTTTTTCACCTGATCACTGCTGGCAGCTATAGCCGCCAGCAGTGATCATTGTATTCTGCCAGTGGGGAAGGCTCCCCACCAGCAGAACACAAGAGCACTGCACGTAGGATTCCCCCATCAATACGGACTGTGTTGATGGGGGAATCGAGCAATTTTCTTTCCTTCAACCTGTGGTTAAAAATTGCATAATGTATGTCCTGCCTTAAAGCCTGTTCTACCCCAGACCTATATTATACTATTCCATTGTCCTTTAAAATTTTGCATTTCATATTCTACCCTGGGCAGAGACTCTCTGGGGTCAAGGTGTCTGAATGCAATGGAAAAACAGAATGGTTGGCTGCACAAACAGCAATATGGTAGATGAAATCCTTTATTGGAATCCTTTACACACAATATAAGAACATGACAGCTCCAAGACAGGACAGAGGAGCAGTAGACGCGTTTCACACAAACCTGTAATGTTTCGTCATTACAGGTTATGCACATTCGGCACTCACCTGGAGCGGATCTTTTGCTCTTTCTTAAAGGTGTCTGGGACCTTATTGCTAACTAAGCAATAGGACATTAGCAACGTGGCCCATGGTTACATGAAAGTCCATAATTATCTGTGCCTTTGTTCTTCTAAAACACATGTCAAACACAAGGCCCGGGGACCATATCTGGCCCGTCAGGCCATTTCATGTGGCCCTTGCACCTCTTCTGCAGCTGCAACGCCCTTCGTCTCTGCCCCACATTGTCTAAGCAGTTGGCAGCAGAGAGGAGGACAGAAGTCCTCCTACAGATCCTGCACCTGCCTGTGCAGCCACAGCACCCCCTCATCTCCACCTCTCAGCGTTCAGCAGACTCCGGCAGCTGACTGCAGCCCTCTTCTAGTCCTCCTCCAGAACCTGCACTTTCTGCTTCCCAGCTTCTTCCCTGCAGCAGTACAAGGTAAGGGAGTGCACTGTAATGTAAGGGAGGGTGGGGGACTCGACTTCTGACAGTGGGGGGATTCATGACATCTAATATAAGGGGGGGGGGTTGCTCTGCACATCTAGTTCTACATATACAACTGGCCCTTTGAGGGCAACCATAATGCAAATGTTGCCCACGATGAAATTCAGTTTAACACCCGTGTTCTAAAACATTCACTCATTCGTGCTCCTAGAGTGCAGTTGAGATATGGGGAGGTAGGCGTTTTCCCTGTTTTCACCTGGTGATCTGGCCAGTAACAGACCTATTGTATTAGAGTGCTTCCACTCTGGGTGAAGGAGCAAAGGGGCACCTTTGGATAGTAGCACGGTGAGTCTGGGGGAGAGGGAATCTTAGAAGCACTGGCAGATTAAAATACACTAACAAATTGAAGCCAAACTCCAGCTAATACTTTATAAGCAGTTACGGCAAACTGTTTTCTGTTGGGATAAAGGTTTTACACGAAATAAATGGGTTTGTCTCATCTCTGTAACTGATACATTCGGCTGGAGAGCTTGTTCCTTTGAAAAACAACAGACTTAATGTTTGAATCACCGGATGAAAATAGATGTTTGCTTTTGGGTTTAATACTGCATTAGGAGAGCTCAGAGGAGCATTCCCCATGAAAGTTTTTCTCAAGCCATCTATTAGATACACCTCATGTACTCATGGCAGCAAGACTGGTTGACATATTCTTTAGTTAACATTGAAGCACGTCCTTTCCTAAAATCACTGAACTACTTCCCTTCTTTAGGTTTAGCAATCGCAATACACAGAACTGAAGTGAGTGGTCAGGCTATTTCCCGTCACGAGTTAAGACATCTCTTCCACTAAGTCAGAATGAATGGGGGGGGGGGGGGGGTAAGATGGGGGCATACTTGTTTCTTTACCAGTGCAATGATCCTACTGGTATAAACCACTCATTTCTATCCCTACTAATCAGTGTGTACAGACTAATGCTGACCACAGACATCCAGACAAGATCGACCACCTAATGATGTCCTTTAGTGCCATACAAATGATCATTCGGGTCTTTCAAGTGTTTATGATGAAGAGAATAGGGATGAATTGGCCAAAACTGACTTCAAAGTGGAATCTCTGAATTTAGTTATCTGGTCATTGAGCTGCCTGGATTATATTTTCTTTTAAAGAAATGTTTTTGAGGGTTTTTTTTTTTTTAGGAAAAAAACGTAAAACATTGAGCCAATTGGCACAAGAAATGATCTAAGATTGTTCAAAAGAACTTTTGCAACCCTCAGGAGCTATTTAAAGTCAATTGCATCCCCCTTTCCCAAAAAACAACCAACCTAAAATCATCTTCATTTTGCCCCCAAACGTGACTGAGCTGTATTTTGTTACAATGGTGAAATGTTGCAGAAATCTACCGTTTTCAGTCGAAATTCTGGGAAAACACCTGATTTTCCTCCCCCAGAGGAGACACCAGCTCACACAGGTGGCACTTGCTGATCCCGGAGAGACACCAGCCAACGTACCTGCAGACAATTGGTGTATGGATGCCAGAGAGTCTAACAAAACATCTTGATGCAAATACCCACTTTCAAATTTTGCAAATGTGTTTATACTGGAATCAAATTGACATTTAGACCTTGTCCTGACGAATTTTAGGTTCATTCTTTTCAGATCATTGTTGAAGCCGTGATGAAGGGGAGTCCATTCCCCCAAAACACATTGGCTGTATCTGACATCATTGTTTAACAAACAATTTAAAAGAACTTGCAAGCAAAAGACATTTCTTACTAGGTGCTCCAAACCACTTACTGACGATTTTATCCTCTAAAAAAGTCATTTTCCTATTAAGAGCAGACCTATTCACATCTACTAGTATCACAGGCCTACTTCCTCCAAGGAGTACTCCCCTCCTCTACTCACCCGCCTGTGGGAACCAATGCAGGTCATACATGGGTGGCATTCCGAATTATTTTTTCATCCGAAAATCGAAAACGTCGTTTGCTCAGTAATCCGATGGTGCCATCGAAAACATTGTTCGCTCAGTAATCCGATGGTGCCATCAATGATTTCGAAAACCGGCCAACCAAGTCATAAAGTTCACCCCATATATAACAGGCAAAATTTCTGTTCCTTCCAGGT